GGGGGAGGGAGGGGGAGAGCTGTTTAAACCATAAGTGGATCAGACCCCTAATGATCAAGGAAAGCAGCAGCAGGGAGCTTCTCCCTCACTCCCCCAACACTGCAATCCCACTTCACACCCAGCTCTGAAGAGGGAAACATCTTTTCCTAGCATGATTTTTTTGGTTTTTATTTTGTTTTGCTGGTACCGGAGATCAAACTCGGGACCATGTGTTTGTGAGGCAGGTGGCGACACCACTGAGCTAAATCCCCAGCCCTGGTTTTTGTTTTTTTGAGATGGGGTCTCAATATGTTGCCCAGGCTGGCCTCCTAGGCTCAAGTGATCCTCCTTCTTCAGCCTCCTGAGTGCTGGGATTACAGTCATATGCTACATGCCTGGCTCCTGAGGTGTTTTGAAATAAGGTGTTACAGGTTTTAAAATCTTGTAGCTAGATCTAAAATTTGCATTATTTAAAAAACTTTTAAATCATGAAACCAGTACAGCACATTGTCCTTGTCCTGTATTGGCATTTGACAGCCGGGCACAGTGGAGAGGCTCATTCCACTCATTCAGCAGTTACATGAAAGATTTGGGCAAGACAGTTTATGTCCTGCTGCGCAAGCACAAGGACCCGAGTTCAATCCCTGGTACCAAAAAAAAATTAAAATTAAAATTAAAAAATTAAAAAATAAATAAAAAGGAGGCCTGGGGCGCAGCTCAGTGGTAGAGCATTTGCCTAGCATGCTCAAGGCCCTGGGCTCTATCCCAAAACCAAAAAATAAAATAAAATGAATAAATAAAATAAAGGAGGGAAGGGGTTGCTGACTGAAGAGTGAGGAGCGCTCCGCTCACTTTCTCCAGCCGCACCCCAGCCATCGATGTTCTCCATCGATGTTCTCGCTGGCTGGCGGCAGGGACTCTGGGCCTTCACCTTGAATGGGCCAGGTCCCTCCCGAACTCAGTCCAGACTGGGAACAGGACCCACCACCTAGTTCAGATGTTCCTCTCCTGGTAACAAACTTCACCCCAGAAACCCCGTGGGCATCACCAAACCTCCCAGCACACAGAATGGTTCCATCCGGGAAAGAGAACAGGGTGGCAAGGGGAGAAAATAAACTTTGAATTTTATACCATGAATTGTTTCTCAAAAAAAAAGTCATATACAAATTTCTACTGCACCTGCCTCAAAAGTGCAAGGACCTGAGTTCGATCCCTGGTACCGAAAACAAAATTTCCATAAAAATAGATGACTGTGAATTCCTATACCTTGTTGTCCATAATTGTCCACTGGCCTTCAGGATTCTGCTTCAAAACACAGTGGTTTCGAGAAATCATCAGAGGGCAAATTTTTGATACCAGTTGGTATGTGACGCCAAATCCTCGTCCTATAGACACCTAGGAAGAAAACAACAATGGAGGGACAGTCAGTCATTGTGCTGAGAAAGCAAGGTCCTCCGCAATCAATCTGAACAATCAGCAGCATACAAAGGACCTCACTGAGGAAGCCGGACTTGGACTCGGTTTGTCTGCCATCTCCTCCTCAGCTGCCGAAGGAGCCATAAGGAACACAGGCGGTGACAACAGGAAGCTGCAAGGAGCTAACCCGGGACTCAGGGCTGGTCAGGACCCTCAAAACCCACCTGGCTCGATGGCCCCAGACATGGAACGACTCTTTTATGACTGTTAGTGCGAGTCAGTACACAAGGTAGTAGGTTTGTCTTGGCGTTTGTGTATGTGCACAGGACACACGCTGATCACTTTCACCCCCACTACTGCCCCTGCCCTTCTGTCCCCTCCCCCAGCCTGCTTCCTCTTCTCTAACAGTTTCCCTTCTACTTTCACCTCATCTCTCTCTTCTTCTCTTTTTAGATGAGATGGAGGAATTCTTTCTATCCATTCCCATCAATTCACTGCAAACACCGCCAAGAACTACAGCCTTCACGTAAAGCAGACCTTCGGATTTTTACTAATGGCTCAAATTTGGCATCTTTCTCCCACTTGTCGGCCCTGGTTCTGCCCTTGGCACCATCAGAAAATCTCCAATCCCCCTTCCACACCACAGGTGCAAAATGTTTCCTGACTCTTCTCTTTTCCCAGCTGTGTTGTCAGTTACTTTGACCTAACTCCTAGGGCACGGGTTTGAGTCTCCGTCGTCTTAATAAGTCTGTGAAAGGAATCCTGGTTCATATTTATTCCTGAATGCCATATTAAGAAGATAAACTTAACGTCTATGACACAGTCAAATGCAAGTTATCACTGTCCAGTTCTAGCTGTGATCACTGCTGCATATAAAAACTGCATGAGTTTTCACAGCATATCTCCTGCATTGCCTGTGTGCCCTCAGGCTTTAATAAGTCTGGTTCCTCCCTCCACCAAGAACTGCTGTTAGGTCCTATGTCTTCCATTCCATACTTAACTAGTTGGAAAAATCTGGATTCAAGTGCAGGACCTTACATTTACAGTATGTCTATTAAACTTCATCTTGTTAATTCAGCCTATCACACTAGCTTGCAAGACTCTTCTGAATTTTTAATCTGCTATAAGATCAGACATAGTCAGTATTCCTTCAAGCTTTAGTCCCCAACCAAATTGATATGGCAGCTGACTCAAGACATGGATAAGAACATTTATTTATTTATTTGGTACCAGAGATCGAACTCAGGACCTTGTGTTTGCAAGTCAGGCACAGTGCCACTGAGTTAAATCCCTGGCCCAGATAAGAATAAATGGGGGGGGGGGGTTAGCTCAGTGGTTCCGACGCCGCCTGCCTCGCAAGCGCAAGGTCCTGAGTTTGATTCCCAGTACCAAAAAAAAAGAATAAATGGGAAGTAACCAAAAGTAAAGCTCTCAAGAAAGCCTTCTAAACATTTTACCACAACCTGGTTACACCTTCAACCAATTGTAAGTCAACCAAAAGTCTTTGCACTGAGTCTATATCCTCCCTCTTACCCACAAGGGCAACATGGGATCCTTTGGAAAAGGCTGAAAGAAGCCCAAATTCTCATCTATCATACTTTCTTTTTTTTTTTTTT